CGTGATATAAAAAAATTCTACACAAAAAAATTATCTTGATATCATTATCCTTAAAACAAAGTAAAGAAAAACCCTCCCTTTTAATTTTTATTATTAAAATAGATAAAATTTTCTCCCCTCCTTTCCACTTCAACCAAACATGTTATGTATTGAAATCAAACACATTAATTAAACTGCACAATCTAAGAGCAACGTTTTTCTTTGGTTTAATAGCAAATAGATAATACTCTTGGACTTATAGGAAATAAGCAACTATCGTCCCAAAAACAATTTTAGTGGCAGCTAACTAGAATCCCTATACATGAGAGAAATAGGCAAGCATGGTCCTTCATCTGTGTCAACCTTGTTAGTATATATATATATTTTTTTTTTGAAAACTTATTTAAAATCTCACATTCAAATTAATATTTTTAAAAACTAACATTTGAATTTAATATTTTATTTATATAAATCATATATATTAATTTTTATATTAATTTAACGTTTATAACCTTTTGATCAAAGAAACTTTATTTATTTACATAAATTTAATGGTATTAAATTTTGTGTAATTAATGAATTAGTTAGACCTCTAGATCAACATAAAAATTGACATTCATAATATATATATCCACTTTGTATATACTATGCTTCTATTTACATTTAGATTGCAATAATAATGTATTTTAGGACAATGATTCATGCACTCACCGATTTGACACCTAATAGGTGCACACTCCATAAATTGAACAAATTGTACAAGTAAAATTACAAATTTACACTTAAAGCCATCTTCTTCCTCACAATATCCCTTTTTCTTCTTATCTCTCCATCTCTCTCTTCAATAGTTCAACAGCAGTTTCTCCACTTTCTTCCCCCTCCCTCTTTTCTTCCCTCTATTTCTACCTACTGAAATGAACAAGTTCTTTAACACTTGGGTTCATGAAGAAGCCAACACCTGGGTTCAAATTAAACCCATATCTAGGTTTAAATTGAACCTAGATCTAGGTTCAAATACTTGGATTCATGAAGAACCCAACAGCAAATAAGAGAAATAATAGGCCACAAACCGACAAAGAAAATGAGACCACAAGAAAAACAGATTAAAAAAATTAGCTATTATTCTAGGCAGAAAATCAAAACCTACAAAGCTCCAAATGAAAAACTGACTGTTCATAATAAAGATTAATGTTCTTGAACACTCAAACAAAATTTCAACTTAATGCAATGATGAACTTCTGCAGATCGAACAAAATAGCAAAGCTGCACACACTACCAAAACTACAAAATTTTCCTCTTTTTTCTTTTCCCTTTTTTGCCAATTGGCTCCACTCACATGCATTCCACTTTATGCTATATCATCCCAAAAACAGACCTGTTTTATGTGTCTAATGGGCTACAAAATCAAGGGTTAAATCGAGGTGATTATGAGAAAATGAATTCTTCATCAAGATTTGTGTTGCTGTCATTTGGGAAATGAATTTCCAGTGATTTGGTGTTGCTATCATTTAGGAAACTTACTCAAGATTCTGACTTAGTACTTCAATGCTTGATTGAGTTTTGTTGGGATTCAAATGATTTGTTCTTACTGTCATTTGGGAAATGGGTTTTGCAAGGAAGAAGATGACTTTAAGGGTAAATTTGTAATTTTACTTTTACAATTTGTTCAGTTTATAAAGTGTACGTGCATCTGGCAAGTCTCAAACCGTCAAGTGCATAAATCATTGTACTATATTTTGATCTTAGATTCCCCTAATCTCTTGGATTAATTATCATAAAATGACACACATCCCCACTTTTGATCTTACTATATGAAGACCAAGTTTTCCAAGTTGTAATAGCTTGCAATGCCGAAATTAGGCATAACACGTGCCTTGATTCGTCTTTTAGTTGGTCAGCACTTTTTTTTTTTGGAAGGGGTGGGGGGAGTAAGGATACTATTTAGTTCGCTTTGTTTTGTTCTCAACACACGGTCTTTCATAATTATTCAGTTAAATTAGTTTAATTATTATTTTTTTAACAGATTACATTGGGGGTGGAAGATTCAAACCCCAACCCACATACCTTCAACGAGACATAAAACTATCGGTCACGAGGACCAAGTGTGATTTGTTTAATTAGTTAATTTAACTTTTTCCATCAATTAATTATAAATCTAACACGGAGCTTGATTAATTTAATTTTTCTAATATGAAATTTATCCTTTACAACAAGAAGATTAAGCCAAGGTTCAAAAGCATGTTGCCTGCCTCTGTTTTATTTTTATTTTTGATTTTCTTTTTTTAATGAAAATGCTACTTACCTCTTTCTATCGAGTATTAGCCGTCAGGGTTAGTATTAAAAATAAAAGTGTAAATTACGTAAGAAAACTAACACTGTGAATGAAATTAAAATTTAATAATTTTAGTTTGGTTAGGAAAAATGAAATTTAAAAAAATAAAATAAAATAAAATTTGTTAAGAGGAGAAATGAGTTCAATATGCCTTTGCATCAACATCAACGTTAGCCCGGGGGTTTGCTGCAATGACGACACCAATCAACGTCGGAAGTCTAATCTCTATCCAATGTTCGGACTACACGCAATAATGGTCCCCAACTTTACAGTTAGTTTCACTTCAGTCCCCTATATTCAAATACTAACAATGAAGTTCCTTAACTTAAAAAACACTTCTATTGCTTGGTCTTCTGTCATAGATCACGCAAATATCATCCTCCAAATAGACAACTTTGCCACATCAAATTCTACATAATTAAATGTTACTAGTTTGTATGTTTTGATAATATTTTTAATTACTTAAATTATTATTAAATAAACAAAAAAGAACATTAGTTTTATTTTGACTTTTAGAAGGGAAGTTGGTAATGTTGATTTTAAGGGTACAAATGGATGCTTCCTCCCCTTTTCGACGTTTAAGGAGGTCAAAATCTTGAAAATCAAGTATGTCATATATTGAAGTGTTTCTTTTTGTATAATTAACTGCTACTCCATTTACAATCATTTGAGTTTTGATAACTCTTTTAAATTTATGTTTATTACTTAATGTGTTAATATATAATAAATAATCTAAGAATGGTTGAAGCTGGTGGTTTATTTGTGCACATTTGGGTAATTAAATTGTAAGATTTTCTAAAAGAGTAGACATAACTACCGGCCTTGCTTGTAATAAAGAAAATTGGGTTGTCTCCACTCTCTTTCGAGTCTTAAGTTACCCTTCAAAAAACTTCTCTTTATTGGGACCCAATATAATATTCTATTATTAATTCCCAATCGGCCCGGCCCTCCCCTATTTCTTATTGGAACCCACTAATAATTCATTTATCCCCCAGCCCTACGCCCCACGCCCCACGCCCGCCCCTATAAAGGGTTGCCGCCAAGCAATCAACTCCTCAGTCCTCACCCCTTCCCTTCTACTTCTAGCACCATTAAAACATGGAAACTCATATAGGTAATTCTTATTTCCTTCCATACATATTACTCGAGTTTTTTTATTTTTTATTTTTGGCCCAACACCAACCTTTCAAGTCACGTTAGACGCAGCTAATTTTGCTGAGAAATTAACACAGTGCTTTTCGTGTTTCTTCTTTCTTTCTTTTGTTTTTTCCTTCTTTTTTTTTTTTTTTTGGTAGTTCACAGGATCTTCAGCGGCGGCATGATGACCTTGGTGTTGATGGCATTCATGGCCACAATTTCAGTTGCTAAAGTGGACAGTCGGACATACATTGTTCACATGGACAAGTCCAAGATGAAAAACTCCTATCTTTCTGCAGCTAATTCCCAAGAAATGTTTCAAGATATGCTTGATTCAATCTCCCAACTCTCCACTGATTCAAAAGTAACACCACCTCCCCGCCTACTTTATGCATATGACACTGCAATCTTTGGTTTTGCTGCTAGGCTTTCCCCTATGCACCTAGAATCAATAAGAAACATGGACGCTTTTGTCGCTGCCATTCCCGACGGATCAATACGCCTACACACCACACACAGTTACCAGTTTCTTGGCCTAGAACAGGGCAAAGGACTCTGGCATGCTTCAAATCTAAAGTCTGATGTGATAATTGGTGTCATAGATACCGGTATCTGGCCTGAACATCCTAGTTTTCAGGATCATGGTTTTGGTCCAGTACCAGCTAGATGGAAAGGTGCTTGTGAGAGCGGTACAAACTTCTCCCCACTAAACTGCAATCGCAAACTCATCGGTGCCAGATATTTTTTCAAAGGATACGAGGCCGCGCATGGCAGAGTCAATGAAACCAAAAATTTTAAGTCCCCCAGAGCAACAAATGGTCATGGAACTCACTGCGCATCAACCGCTGGTGGCAATCTTGTACAGAACGCAAGCTTTTACGGCCTAGCCAAAGGTGTGGCAGCCGGAATGAGGTACACATCAAGAATTGCAGCATATAAAGTTTGCTGGGCAGGACCTGATGATTGCGCTAATTCTGACATTCTCGCCAGCATTGATCAAGCAATTAAAGATGGTGTGAACGTAGTGTCCATATCATTAGGACCTGAAGAAGGAGGCAGTGTCCCATATTTTGATGATCTCACTGCTCAAGCAGCATTTGCTGGAATCCAACGAGGAATCTTTTTTTCATGTTCAGCTGGAAATGAAGGCCCGCGTACTGTTAGCAACACTGCCCCATGGCTCATGACAGTGGCTGCAAGCTACATTGATAGGAGCTTGCCTGCAATTGTCAAACTTGGAAATGGACAAATTTTTGAAGGTGTATCTTTGTACGCCGGTAAATCATTAAAAGAATTACCAATTGTGTATGGACCGACTGCAGGGAAAAAATTTGCTCAGTATTGCGTTCCCGGGGCACTCAGCCCAAAGCTTGTAAAAGGAAAGGTGGTTGTTTGTGACCAGACACGAGGATTTGACAACTATCAACAAGCAGAGCATGTGAAGTCAGTAGGAGGAGCTGGCACGGTCATCTTTCTCAGTGAGGGTGAAGATCTTTTTGGTCTTCCTTACATTTCTCCTGCAGTTTCTATGGTATACAAGGCAAGAAAGCCTATGTTAAGTTATTTGAACTCTACAAAATCACCTACAGTTTCACTAACTTTCAAAGGAACCACTTATGGAAAGCGTGCACCAATGATGGCTGCGTTTTCATCAAGAGGGCCAAATCTAGTTGGTCCTGACCTGCTCAAACCAGACTTGACTGCACCAGGGGTGAACATATTGGCAGCGTGGCCAGGTATAAGTAACCCATCTGAGGAGGAGGGTGACAAAAGAAAGGTTCTGTTCAATTTAGAGTCAGGGACTTCGATGTCTTGTCCTCATGTTAGTGGCCTAGCAGCACTGCTTATTTCAAGGCACAAAGAATGGTCGCCAGCGGCAGTTAAATCAGCCATGATGACAACCGCTTATAATCTAGATAATAGAGGGAGTCCAATTAAGGATTTTTATCATGGTGGCCCCGCGACCCCTTTTGCAATTGGTTCAGGCCATGTTGATATTCAGAAAGCTTCTGATCCAGGATTGCTATATGACATCCACCCTCTTGAGTATTTACATTACTTGTGCAGCCTCAACTATAATTCTTCTCAGATAGCCAGATTTGATTGGAATTTCACATGCCCCAAAAGGACAACCATGCAGCCTGGAGATCTGAATTACCCTTCCTTTGCAGTGCTTCTCAAGAGTGACGCCCATAATGTTACCATTACCTATAGAAGAACTGTCACAAATGTTGGAAATCCTCCAGTTGGTACTTATAAAGTGCACGTACAAGAACCCAAAGGAATATCAGTCAGGGTGAAGCCTAGCATTTTAAGTTTTAAGATGCATGGTCAAAAACTGGCATACAAGGTGAGTTTCACTGCAGTAAAACAAATCATTGAATCTGAGAACTCATCCTTCGGATCTTTGACATGGGTGTCTGGGAAATACACAGTCCGAAGTCCCATTGCAGTAACTTGGATATAGAGTCTTGTGTTTATCGTATGTGGAAGCAGGGGATTTGATTATGTGCTGCTCAAGTTATTGTGAGTATGTGGGCTATGCCAATGTGTAATGTTTGATGGGAAAAATAATTGAAAGCATATAAAATGCTTTTTATCTACTTTGGCTTTATCTTATCTTTCCAATGTGACATCCCAGCTTGTTTCTGCTAATCTGGTTGGACCAATATTACTACATTAGATTTCCCTCAAAGGCTTGCTTATGCAGTAGCAGACATTTTCAGAACAATGTCTTGTTTTTTTTCCATTTTTCTTCTCTCTTTTTTTTTTTTTTTTTTTTGCTTCCTCCTTTGCCTAAACCATTATCTCACCTACTAAGGCACAAAATATCTTGTCTTGCAGAAAAAAATATCAAGCACCATTATTTTCTCCTACACTTTATCGTTTTCATGATTGAAAGAATTGTTGAAGACTATTGAAAGTGGAAATGAAACAGACCTAGCACTACTGAATCCACTGACAAAAAGTGAGACGTTTATATCGCGTGCGTGATGGTTGTGTCCTGAACTTCTATTTTATGCACACTCAGATGAGTATCAAAATATGTGTCGGTGATATCTTTGAGCTATGTTTTGAAGTTTGAGATGTTGGGGCAGAAATTGAGCTATAGGGTTAGTTTTGTTGGAAGCAGAGGAAAGACATCTGGATGAGATTCATCCTTTGGAGCTTTGGTTGGATAGCAGTTACTTAGAGTTGATGTTATAATTAATGGAGAATTAGAAAAACTCTAGTATCCAGATAGCTGTCAAGTGATTAAAAAGTTACTACTAATAAATAGAGGAATTGAAGGGTCATTTTATTTTATTTTATTTACATTAAAAGATTAGTTATTTGATACTATTTTGAATCTTTAATTTTGATTTAAATTAAGATTTTTAAATTAATAAATAATAACTCAATAAGTTATTATTGATAGTTATTTTTATTGTATAAATCATCATCTAATATGCTATAAAAATTTTAGAATGAATTTGAAGATTTCTCAAATCCCTTCAATATAATCTATTTGATCCTGTGTAATTTGTGTTCTTGTAAATAAATTAAAATTCCAATTGGTATTGTGTCTCACAGCATTTTTTTCACAATATCTCATTATTAAGTTACTATAATTAAATTAATTTTAATTAATATTTATATAATTTAGTAATCATGTCCATGGACTTGGTGACGGTCATAATAGGGTTTAATGGAATTTTGATTTTCTCTTTCCATGTGAGAGATTTTTTCTTTTCCACCATCGCCATGATTTGGTGGCTGAGTTTCCTTTATGACCATTACCTTTTGCTTTTCCTTTTTGTTTTACGATTCCTTCCTGATGGGCGGCCATGCTTGTGCTCTCTTTTGTCTTCCATGGGTGCTGGTGCTGTTGAATTGACATCTATTTTGTTCATTGGCCGGTGAAGGTCATATATTGTAGGTCCATTGATTTGGTTGTAGTTTTGGGCAACCTTATTTTCTATGTTGAAAAAGGCATGTCCTGGTTTGGTGGGGATGAACGTGATAGGTGGTTGTAGTATAAAGTCGAGATTCAAGTAGTCAAGGTGGCTAAGGCAAAGGCAAAGGTCTACTTTGATTGTTTCAAGAAAATGGAAGTTTTTCTTTATTACGTATGACGTAGAATGATTGCAGGAAATTACCAAGCATTGTTTCGGGATGAAGGCGGCAGGGCCGCTACTTGCTGCTCCTTACGAAGGGAAGACAACATTCTAAGATTCCTATATATGTTTTGATTTTTTTTTTTTTTTTTTTTTTTTTTGAGAATTAAGTGATAAGTCGTGATCAAGATACTCATTTGATAATAGGGAATTTGAGTCAAAATTTTCTCCAAAAGGTTTGGAATTGAAGCAGTTAATTGGGGAAGGCAATGTGATAGAGGATGATGAGACTATGGATGATAATTGTTGTGCTAATCGTGATAAGAAAGGGTATTTTGTTTCGTATAAAAATTGTTTAAATGAGGAGTATTGGTAGTTGATTAGAAAGGACTTTTGGCCCTTTTTTTTAATTTAATCTCTAGTTGGTAATTAGGAGTGCTTTCCTATATAGATATAAGTTTAGGTGGAGATTGGAGATGCCATGTTTAGAGATTTATTATACATTTACTTTAAATTGGAGTAGTTTATTTTATGGAAGAAATTTATCATTTTTATTAAAAAAGTAATCATATATATTCACATATTTCATAATTTATAATGTATTTATTAAATAATAACACAACTTTTATAATAAAAAATACACAAAAAACTAAATTTATAATATTTTACAACAATCTCAAATAAATCTTAAAATTTTATTAATTATATTTTATTATATTACTTTATATAAATTAACATAAAGAGTTATTTTAACTTATGCTCTTAGAATATATTTATTGTATTTTTTAAATAAATTTTATTTTTAATATTAATGTCATATAAATTAATTTAATTTATTTATTAATAAAATTAAAATAAATTTTTTTATTAAATTAATAATAAAAATATGTAATAAATAAACCATTAATATGTACTCTAAAAGTACATTCATTTTATT